TGACGGCCTCAGCTGGGACAGGTGGGGCCTCTGTGTGTGCAGCCTCTTATCCCCCAGCAAGTCTGAAGTTGGCCACATGGTGGCAGGGTTTCAGAGAGCAGCAAGAAAGAGTAAGTCTCGATGCACAGACATCACTCAAGCCTCTGCTTCTGTCACCTTCGCTCACTTCCCCTTGGCCAAAGCAAGTCACGTGGCCGAGCTTGGAGTCAATGGGGAGACACTCAGAGCTACAGCACAAAGGATCATGGATACAAGGAGAGGGAGAATTTATGGCCACTGTTTGTAGTCTGCTGTAGCGCAAATCAGACTGTACTTTGTACCCTGTACAAGGAGGATGGTCTTTAACCTACTGGGACTCAAGTCTTTTTCAGGAATTCAATTTAAAAAAAAAAATCAGAGCTATGTTGGAAGGCCTGGAGGGTTCTTAAGACTGGAAATCTCAAACTGGCAATTGATAAGGAATAGGTTTTATTTGTCCAGCTCCACCTTTAGAAACTTTTCTCTTTTTTTGAGCCAACATTTACAATCCTGAGATTTTGCATAAAAGAAATGTCTTTTGGAAATCTTTGGAAAGAAAGACAATCTGGCAAAAATTGCTAAGAACCAAGTATGAAGTGCTGTTTTTACGACATTAGATCACTTCAGAACACTCTTATCTGGTTTTTGACTCACAACACTTCTGACACCAGATGTGTGGTTCCTCTCCACACCAAAGAGTCCTGTAGTTCTCTGCAGACACCAGCTAGGTGTCCTGTGTTCAATTCTATTCTGACAGTAAATCCCTGGAGTCAGCACAGACCCCCCGGGTCAGGACTCAGTCCCAAGCTGCCCCTGCTTCTGACACCAGTCACGGTCCCAGGTTGCCACCTGTGCTTCTGATCAACTGCCTGTGGATCTGGGCACCCTATGACCCCCTCCTTGGGTTCGATAATCTGCTAGAACAGCTCTCAGAGTTCAGGGAAAACAGTTTACTTTCTATTACTAGTTTATTTTCAAGATTACAACTCAGAAAACTGCCGGATAAAAAGATGAGGGGGAAAGGGCACTTGGCATCTCTACTCTCTATAGATGCATCAGCTTCCCACCACCTAAAGTATTCGCTGACCTGGAAACCAAACGAATGGTGGAGAGTTTGAGTGACTCAGTTCCAAGGAAAATGACTACAGCAAAAGATAACTGATACATGCTGTGGTACCTCAGTTAATGCCTATCAAAAATACTACTATAAAAACACTTGTTTTTTAACTCAAAATGGATTAAAGATCTAAATGTAAGACCAGAAACTATAAAACTCCTAGAGAAAAACATAGGCAAAACACTCTCCGACATAAACCACAGCAGGATCCTCTATGACCCACCTCCCAGAATATTGGAAATAAAAGCAAAAATAAACAAACGGGACCTAATGAAACTTAAAAGCTTTTGCACAACAAAGGAAACTATAAGCAAGGTGAAAAGACAGCCCTCAGATTGGGAGAAAATAATAGCAAACGAAGCAACAGACAAAGGATTAATCTCAAAAATATACAAGCAACTCCTCCAGCTCAACTCCAGAAAAATAAATGACCCAATCAAAAAATGGGCCAAAGAACTAAACAGACATTTCTCCAAGGAAGACATACAGATGGCTAACAAACACATGAAAAGATGCTCAACATCACTCATTATCAGAGAAATGCAAATCAAAACCACAATGAGGTACCATTACACGCCAGTCAGGATGGCTGCTATCCAAAAGTCTACAAGCAATAAATGCTGGAGAGGGTGTGGAGAAAAGGGAACCCTCTTACACTGTTGGTGGGAATGCAAATTAGTACAGCCACTATGGAAAACAGTGTGGAGATTTCTTAAAAAGCTGGAAATAGAACTGCCATATGACCCAGCAATCCCACTTCTGGGCATACACACCGAGGAAACCAGATCTGAAAGAGACACGTGCACCCCAATGTTCATCGCAGCACTGTTTATAATAGCCAGGACATGGAAGCAACCTAGATGCCCATCAGCAGACGAATGGATGAGGAAGCTGTGGTACATATACACCATGGAATATTACTCAGCCATTAAAAAGAATTCATTTGAATCAGTTCTAATGAGATGGATGAAACTGGAGCCCATTATACAGAGCGAAGTAAGCCAGAAAGATAAAGACCATTACAGTATACTAACACATATATATGGAATTTAGAAAGATGGTAACGATAACCCTATATGCAAAACAGAAAAAGAGACTCAGATGTATAGAACAGACTTGTGGACTCTGTGGGAGAAGGCGAGGGTGGGATGTTTCAAGAGAACAGCATCGAAACATGTATATTATCTAGGGTGAAACAGATCACCAGCCCAGGTTGGATACATGAGACAAGTGCTCGGGCCTGGTGCACTGGGAAGACCCAGAGGGATCGGGTAGAGAGGGAGGTGGGAGGGGGGATCAGGAAGGGGAATACATGTAAATCCATGGCTGATTCATGTCAATGTATGACAAAATCCACTACAGTATTGTAAAGTAGTTAGCCTCCAACTAATAAAAATAAATGAAGAAAAAAAAAAAACACTTGCTTTTGTGGAACTAAGAGGACTTTTTCTCAAGAGAAGGGTTTTTTGTTGTTGTTTAATCATCAACAGCTCTATCATTCAGTGTCACATTCTGGTCACTTTTATTAGCTGCCATGTTGACAAATAAAAACATAAAGCTTTCTCATCTGCCTACGGTGTTTTTTTCCTATCTTCCATAAATCCTCAAGGACCACTCACTGTGAAAACTCCCTTCTTGTGGGAGAACTGTCAGCAAAGAACCCTATGCGTTGGAGCTGGAGGAGAAACTGAGATCCTCTTAAAGAAAAGTTAAGTATCCCGAAAAGGCCACTAGCCTGAATGTGACGCTTGTATGTAGGTCAAGGGAAGACCAGCTAACAAAGTCAAGAGTTCCTTTGATCAGAGTATGGGTGATCCCTCTTCTGTTACAGGGCCCCACAATCCTATCAATCAACCTGGCCGGAACTTTCCCAGTCATCAGCTAAGTCCTCCTCTATGCAGGGCTCACAGAGCCATCCAGCTTGCCAAGCTTATTGATCTATCATGCCTCAATGACACCTTTTTTTTTTCTCTTCCTTTTTTATTTTTTAAATTATGAAAGTATAACAACACATATACAGCAGACTTGGAAAACACAGAACAAAGTGACATATAGTTCCACTATATATTACAATTATTTTTTTAAGTAGACAAATTAAGATTTTTAGTTGGAGTTTCAATATCAAACTCTCAAAAATTAACAGAATGAATAGACAGAAAAGTAGAAGGATGTGGTAGATCCAAAAAGCACCATGAACCAACTCAACATAATTAAGATTTATACAATTTTCACACAACAGTAGGATACAAATTCAGGTTCCCATAGACGATAAACTAGGAGACACTGGACTATATCCAAGGACATAAAACAAGGTGAAAAATTTCATAGTCTAAACGTATTGAAATCACAGTATCTGTTCTCTTACCACTGTGGAATTATGTTAGAAATCAATATCAAAAGATATCTGAAAATAATCCACATATTTTCAAGTATAATGTCAATGACACCTTTTTGAAGACTCCTCATTCTGTCTTCCTTTCATCCTTACAACTCTTAAACAAACCTTACCATCTCCTATCCAGTTTCCTGTTTCCTGGCCCTCCCACTTTATACAAACATGCTGGCAGATTACTCTGCAGAAAGCAAGATCTTCCTAAAGAACAGCATTTGAAGTCATCGCCCCAACCTATTCAAGTTGGTTTCCAGTTGCCAGGCTCTTTTGCACCCTCTGTGGTCCAAATCAACTATATTTACATAGTGGTATTCCAAAGACCCCAATTCTGTATCTTTCTCAGGCAGTTCTTATTAAAAACCAACAGTTTCCTATCTCCTCAAGTACCAATCCCAGCCATATTTTTAAAATTTATTATATTTTTTTAAATTAGGTTTCCCTGGTAGCTCAGTTGGTAAAGAATCTGCCTGCAACGCAGGAGACCCAGGTTTAATTCCTGGGTCGGGAAGATCTGCTGGAAAAGGGATAGGCTGCCCACTCCAGTATTCCTGGGCTTCCCTGGCGGCTCAGCTGGTAAAGAATCTGCCTGCAATGCAGGAGACCTGGCTTCAATCCCTGGGTTGGGAAGATCCCCTGGAGAAAGGAAAGGCTATTAAAAACCTATAGTTTCCTATCTCCCCAAGTACCAATCCCAGCCATACTGTTAAAATTTATTTTTTTAATTAGGATAATTACTATCTCGCTGTATCTCACTGTCTGCTGAACCCAGTGCAGGCAAGGTATGGGCAGGGAAGCTGGAAGAAGATGCAAGGAGCCATATAAACTGCGGACATGCTTTATTGGCTCATGGCTGATGCAGCAGCAACTCAACTCAGCACAACTCTACTCTGCCTCTAAGAGCTTTTCAGGTGGTGCTCACGGTGCTCACACACACAGGACCACACCACCACGCACATGCGCAGTGCCACAGATGATCCCAGCTAGTGGGACGTGAGGGGAGTGGGGCAAGAGAGCCTGACCACCGCCACCTGGCCAATTGCTCTCTCCCTACAATTACTTTATAATATCGTGTCGGTTTCTGCCATACATCAACATGAATCAGCCATAGGTATCCACATGTTCCCTCCCTCTAGAACCTTCCTCCCCGCCTTCTAGGTTGTCACTGCCATATTTTGAGACCCAAATTTAATAAGCCTTCTCAGAGAAGTTTTTACCCCACTTCTCCTATTTAAAAAAAAAAGAAAAACTTCTCTGTTGAACTCCCCCAGCAATTTTTTTTGCCTCTGTTCTTTAAACAAATGTTATCTTTCCCAATAGAATCGATGTTTAGGAGCAGGTGCTCTGACCCCTCAAAGCCAACATTTATACATTGTTAGAAATGAGTAAATCCTTTCTGAATCAATACCTGTTAGTTCTACCTCTTAGTTAAACACAGATTCAAGAAGCATCATCTTGACAGGTGAGACCACTCACCTGATTTCTGCAGGGAACTGTGCATTTGTGACCAGGAAACTGGAGATTTTACACTCGTGAAGTAGCTTCAAAAATTTGTTGATTTCTGGGTACATGATGGGCTCTCCCACGAGGGACAACGCACAGTGCTTTACTGTCATTCCTTCCTCAAAGCGTTCTTCTTTGACGCCTGGCACTCCTGGAAGACAGTGGAAAGGATCATGTTCAATAAGGTACAAATAGAGGATGTCACTTTTATTTTCCATAATTAAAAAATTTTTATTTTTCTTAATGGTTCTTTAATTTTAGAGGGAAAAGTCATTTTTGATACCAGCCAAATAATACAAAACAAGGGCTGGGGGGGGAGGGCCCTTAAAAATTATTGAAAGTGAAATCACTCAGTCATGTCCGACTCTTTGTGACCCCATGGACCGTAGCCTGCCAGACTCCTCCACGCATGGGATTTTCCAGGCAAGAATACTGGAGTGCATTGCCATTTCCTTCTCTGAGGGATCTTTCCAACCCAGGGATCAAACCCAGGTCTCCCGCATTGCAGACAGATTCTTTAACAGCTGAGCCACATTAAGTCAGAAAAAAAAGGAAAAACCTAGAATTATTAAACCAGCAATCTCATCCTTGGTTTTAATACTATTTAAACTATATCAATGAAGCAGGCAAAACAAATTGTATTATTAGCTAATTATTTGGAACACAGAATACATTACTTTCCATAATTTGCTTAGCTCTGCGTTCCATCATGTTGGTCTAAGAAAATGAACTCAGTATAGCTACATAAGGCAAGTGAAGTGAAAATCGCTCAGTCGTGTCCAACTCTTTGCGACCCCATGGACTGTGTATAGTCTATGGAATTCTCTAGGCCAGAATACTGGAGTGGGTAACCTTTCCCTTTTCCAGGGGATCTTCCCAACCCAGGTCTCCCACATTGCAGGCAGATTCTTTACCAAGAGAACCACAAGGGAAGCCCAAGAATAACCTCTCCTATACTAATCATCGCCTCCCTTCGTCCCTCGAGTATTCTGAATTAAGAGTGTGGAAAACTAGAGCCACCAAGATCCAGCACCAAAGGTTCTATTTAACTGGAGTGGGTGCAAGCCAGGGTCATGGGAGCTTTAACAGTTTCTCAGGTGATTCTAATGTGCAGCCAAGGTAAAAAACCACTGCA